ACGCGGTGATGCTATGTCTGTAGTGCTGTGCTGCTACAGACTCTCGGGAGCAAGGAATTTGGAAGCTCGGACAAGAAATTGTCGGCACGTTTGCACGCACGGTTATACCAATATTCGTTGAATAACGAGATGCTGTATGATAACACCGATTTGACGAACACACCGCCAATTGTGGTTCCTTAAAACTCTAACCTCTTTGAGGTTCACGACACTCCACTCAGTGGTCTTCTCGGTCGTGAGAAGACCCACAGCTTTATGAATTACCACTACTGGTGGCCCAAGCTGTATAAATGGAAGAGCACATATCTGCGCACGTGGGAGACATGTCAGACCAAATGCGGTAGTACCGCTGGTCAGTTTACCGATCCCCTCCGGGTGTGGGCAGTCTATGAGTATGGACTTTGTATTTAGCCTGCCGATGGATTCGGCGGGCAACACGGGTGGCATGGTCTTTGTGGGCCGTTTGAGCAGGATGACCCAACTTGCGGTGTGCCGGACACCATCGACGGTGTGGGTACAGCGACGCTGTTTGTCGATCGTGATTTTTGACAAAATGACTCCCGGTGTCAATTGTCTCTGATAGAGATCAGCGCATCACTGGGAAGTTTTGGGGGGGAATCTTCAGGGTGCTGGGCACCAAGTTGACTGTGTCAACAGCGGACCATCCGCAGACCGATGGTCAGGCTGAGCGCGTGAATCATGTCGTAGGAGACGTTCTTCGCATCGTCTGCGCTGAGAGGTTAAAGCGCTGGGGCGCCATGTTGCCACTCGTAGAGCTTGCTCTGAACAATGCAGTGCATTTACCTACCGGCTGCATGCCGCTCTACGTGAACGGGTTTGTTAGTCCCCACGTCCCGCTGACGCCGCCATCCCATGGCTCAGGGCTTGGTGGGGCAAGCTGATGTCAGCTTCCTCACCGTGTGTAAAGAAGTCGGGGACTTCCTATCGCCCTGACTGAGTGTCATACGACACGTTTGCGATGTGATGCCTGAAAGCCAAGTCATGCAGAAAGAATATGCAGATCGATGAAGCAGAAAAAAATTTGAAAACTTTGAGGTCGGAGACCTGGTTTTATCAAATGCCAAAAACCATACTACATGTGCAGTCTCAGCTGTCTTTAAGACAAAGCTTCGTCCACGTTTTATCGGACCTTTTAAGGTCGTGTCCAAGAAAGGCCTTGTGTATGCGCTGAACCCTCTGAGAAGGGTGCGCACCCACCCAGTGTTTTATGTGGGCTTGCTTAAGCCGTCCCGGGATTCGGCGCAAGTGAACGCGGAAGCGTTGGTGCTGGGTGGCGGCCCAAAGGCGCTCGGCCACATAGAAGCTGAACCAGGTACTGGGTATGAGCACAGAAAGCAACGATTTCCGTTTCCAACAGCGTCAGGCGCTCCACCGTGTGTCTGCTCAACGGCAAGGAGCCTCTCCGACAGATCGCGATAATCCTCATTGTGAGGCAGTTGGTGTACAAAGTGCTCCAGCCTCTCGATATCTTCCGCACAGTGGTAGGCGACCTTGAAAAGATTCTTAGCGGACTGTCGATGACGACGGACTTTGTCCTACAGCGCTTGAAATATATCGCGAGTCATCGGACGGCGATCGACCAAGTCGTCATCGGACTCTTCTAATTGATAATGGTGGCGTCCACTATCACGTGGAGCGCTTTGTGGGTCATTGTCGTCGACAGGGTCTAACCCAATATTTTGTGAAGTGGCGGGGATATTCAAACTCCAAGAACTCGTGGGAGTTTATAGTGCTACTTCGGCAAGACTGCCCAGACGTCGTGGACGCTTATGATCAGAAGGATCATGACGCTTCGCGTCGTCGTGCTCCCGTGCTTCTCGGCAGTATATTGGGAGGCCAGAGGGCCATGAACTGGGCTCAAGCTATGGGACCTGAGCTGCTGTGGCCGTAGACTCACCCGTGTGAAAAACCACAGAGCTTGCAGGAGCGGGATGGGTTGTTCTATATGTCGCAGGGCGACAATACGAAGGAATTCGGCGTTGCGCCTTGAGTTTGGCAATTTCAAATTTAAGCTGACGCTTTACGCGCACGTCCACTTCCTTGTGGCTTCGCTGTAAGTTTAATAGCAAAGAAAGTTTTTGATGCCGCTGTACCCATCGCTCAAAGAACTCATCATCATCTGCAGCGGTTTCGCCAAGGACCAGCAGCGCAGGATTTGTCCGCATAGCGGGTACAGGAGCGCCTCCTTTTTGATCTCGAAGTCGAGCGAGATCTCTTGGGGTACCAAAAAGCGAGCACTGAGACCTTTCCGCTGATCAACCTCAGCTTGTGTAATGGCCGGGTGCCCGACTACGCAGACGCCTAAAGATCGAGTGATCGTGTCTTTCGCTTCAATAGTGGGATCCGCCGAGCAGAAGCCGTACTCCATGCGAGGGTCTAAGACCGAGCGTGCATACGAGCGCATGAGAGCCGACCTGCTGGCAGCCTCCAATTGCTGCTCCTGTGCTTCGTCGATGCGATTGGAAATATAACCACTCCTCCCGGAAACCGAGAGGTCGAGGAGCGGTCACGGTGTCCGCAAGGTTTGAGCGTGACCACGTCGCACCGTTGGCGCACCTCAACCTCCTCGTCTTGCAATCCTGGAAAAGGAGTATCCAACTCGTATCGACTTTTCCCAACTCTTCGACAAGAAAATCCGTTGCCCGGGGCGGACGGGGTGTATAGCGCTCGGTTGCCGAGGTCTTGGGATATGCTTCTCGTGAAGCCGCGGACGTACTTTCCGGAAATGCACCCCGTGTAGCAGAAGAGGAAGGGCGTTGCCCACGGACGCGCTAGACAGAGTGCTTTTCGTGTCATAAATATAGGGATCATTGAGCGGAGAATGCTTAACGATGGTCTTAGGGACGTACCGGTGTCCCAGACACGCTTAATTATGTTTGACTATATTAATGGGGCTTCACTATATTAAAAAAGGAAACCTATATTTCAATATTGGCGGCTCTGCCGCAACTAAAACAATTAAATACTGTTTCAAGTTTTAACGGAAGGGTTCACTTGTACGGGTTCTTGTAAAGAACGTAAGGCCGGTAAATCAGCTTAGATTCCCTAAGCAAATAGCTACAACAGTCCCGCTGCATCTGTTAGAAGCCGTCAATCCTTAGTCATCTTTGCTGTAGAGCGTGAGCATTGATCAGATACAGTGGCTACCAGCAACCCATGTTAGCAAATCGCTTAGTCGATAAGCAGCCTCATATCGCTAAGCCATCTTCCCCAAACGGCTTGCAAAGATCCGCAGTTCAGTAATTTTGCTTGAAGATCATTAATTAATGGAAGCCAAGACTCTGTCGAGCCGTCAGGCTACCACCGCATGCAGCGGGGCTGGACTTTCTAGCACATGTAAGAAAAACTTGGTTCTACGGTGCCTAGTTGACGTACAGGAAAATAACGATCATTTGATACAAAGCGTGATCATTTATGCAGAGAAGCTATTCTAGCACATTATCAACATTAATGCTACGGACTTTGTAAAACAATAAAATACATGACAGTAGCACAAGCGTTTTGCAATTGCGTAGGTGCTGGATGTTTCAAACAGGAGACCGGACGCAGTGGCATTCAAAATGCCGAATACGGATATCACACATTGCTTGTATCGCGACTAGGGCACTCGTAAAAACGTAGGTTTTCTAAGCCTTAAATGCATTGGCAGCATAGAATGCTGTTTTATCCAAGATCTCGATTTAAGATATAATATAAATCTAGACATATGCCATGGCTCGACTGCACGTAAGAAAATGTTAGGTGCCCCCATACTTTTCTCTTTGTTTAAATTTGCTGATCCATGATGAGACTTCTCTTCTAGGAGCAAAGCCCTTCTACCACAGGCATAATTATGCAACAGCTCTACCACAGAATACGGAATTATCCAGAATAATTAGCAATGATAAATGGAGAAGACATAAACAAGACCTGTGAGGCCGAACTGGCCGTGGGCAGCGGTCTCTAAGAGTCTTTTGAAGCGGCAGTTGCAGCGCTGAGCTGAGGTCTTCAGAGATTGTTCCTAGTCAGTGTGTTTGTGCCGTGGTTTCCAAGGTTTGGTGCCATTAAAACAAGTCAACGCGGCTTAGTATCGATGTCTCTAAAGCACACGCCAATGAAAAAAGGC